AAACACCGAGACAGCGTGATCAAATCCCGCCACATGCAATCCTAACGATAGTAAAAAATTTCTGCAAGAATTGATAATCACATTATCTTTGTAATTTGAAGTCTAGAAAAAAGAAGTCTGATGAGGAGATGTGGTGATCTCTGAAATAGCTTCTATAACTTCTACCGCTTAGNGTATTACAAAACTTGAAAAATGTTTTAGCTAATTTTCATTTTGAACCGAACCAAACCATTCGTTGGAGTGATTTTCGGTTCGGTTTTATTTCAAAAGAAAAACGGTTCGGTTCGTGGTTCGGTTTGCAGCCCTGGTTTTAACTGTCAAAATTGTCTCTTCCGAAAAACTCACAGCATTTTTTCGGTGAGTTGTGCACTCGGTGTACACTGCATTTGGTCAAAGTTACAGAATCCAGCCTCAGGAACATAGTGTGAAATGAAACTGTGAAAAGATCTCGTTTCATTTCCCTTTTCTTTTTCATGTGAAACCATTTTGACAGTTCTATTCATTTTTCCATCGAACGCGAATCGGAAGTGTCATGTAAACGGGGAAAAAACTATTCATTTCATCGTTTCACAGGTCGGTAATTGACCCCCAGGTTTGTATATTTGACTTTTCACACCAATGGAAGAGTCTAAAGTTTTGGTTCGCAGATGGTTTTTATAAACATAACAAATAGAAGTCAACAATTACAATGATTTAAACTTTAATTTTGTTTACAACATTTTTTACGATTTTATATAAAAGTCCAATTTCCCCCTAAAAGTAACTTATGCATCTGCCCATACATGCTAATTTACATACATATGTACATCTCCCTACTTGATTATTTTATCACGTGACCAACCATATACTCGTCCTGCACTTATACATCATATATTTTCCATTTACAGACTCTGATCTCACCTCCAACACATATAACAAAAACCGCAATCGTCACAAATTAAATAAGGCTCTTGCCAAGTATTTGGAACAAGAGAGGTTCCAAACTAATAACGATGGCCTTGGCCTAGGACCTTTTGGGGGAAACGAGTTCGACGAAGATAGTAGCAATCAGTTCGTCGTAGAACCCGACGAAAAGAAACGTTCATCATACTTTAGAGAGCGTGATAACAAATATGGTAAGTGAAGTACATACATTGCAAAATATTTAAAGTCCAAAATACAATAACGCAGTGGCAGTTTTTCGAAATCAGCTGTTTTTTGGAAAGTGTGCTGTCCAATGACGCGACACACAATACAGAAGCGGCAGCTAGCAGTACTGCTCAGTTTATCCCGTATTCTAAATTCACTGCCTTCAAAATATATCGCGTCTTTAAGATAATTCTTCTCACTGCTTCAAATCCGTACAGCAATTTAGGAGTATTTCACTCACAAATACACCTACAGAAGAATTATAAATTCATTCAAAGATAGCTTAAATTCGGTACGTTTGTAGGCCCCACGCCCTCCTTTTCAAATAACCCCATCTCCTCCATGAGTATGGGCTTGATTTCATATACACACACCAAGCTCCAGTCCTCTACCACGAGCACTTGCAGAGTTATGCAGTATAAAAATCTGGTTTGTATGAGAGATGCCACGCCCCCTTTTCCAATAGTCCGAAATTTTCTTTAAGAGTATGCAACTGATTTCATATATCGCCATACCAAGTTCCAGTATTCTACCATGAACATTCCCTGAGGTATGCAGTATGAAAAATTCGGATTGTATGGGAGGAGCAACGTCTCCTTTTCAAATAACCCCAATTTTTCTCTGTGAGATCTCCGTACCTAGTTCTAATATTCTACCATGAAAATTTCCAGAGATATGCTTGTACCACGCCCCCTTTTCCAATAGCTCAAATTTTTGTCCAAGAGTATGCGATTGAGAGATGCTTATATGGGAGGTGCCACGCCCCCTTTCCCAATAGCTTAAATTTTTGTCCAAGAGTATGCGATTGATATCGTTTATCTCCATACCAAGTTCCACAACTCTACCATGAACACTTCCAGAGATATGCAGTATGAAATATTCGGTTTGTATGGGAGGAGCCACGCCCCCTTTACATATCGACATTTTTTTTAGCCTATAATCATCCTTGGAACGTGTGCGGCAGGTGTCCGAAGTTTCAAAAAATCGGTTCAGCCGTTCTCGAGCTTAGCGAACACAAAAAACGGCTTGCCAAATAAATATTACTTAGTAATGATAATACAACGTATGTATACGGAAAAAATCGTCAAAATCTATGCTGTATAAGCTTTATATCCTATACCAGGGGTTCTTGAACTTTTAAGATGATGGAACCCTTACTAACTACATTTCATTTTATGGAACCCGCATCAAATTACTGAAAATCAAAGGCAGAGAAATTTAAATATGATTAAAAACTTTTACTAGAAATAGTACACATACTTTAAAGTTTAATGTGAAGAATGAAATTGTTGAAATTTCACAAAAACACAGATTTATATGAACACATACAAATCTTTCAAGTTAATTTGTGCACAGTTTTATATTGTCTGCACCGCTGCTTTTTGGTTTAAGTGCGCTAAAAAAAAATGTACTTCTATTAAGATTTTTATTTTCATATTTTGTAGAATCCCAACCCACCTCGGTATTTCGAGAACGTGAAACACAAGGAGCGTCTGCAGGTGGCATAACTTTACCCGAGCAGACTGAATTGACTGAGCAGTTTTTACGAGAAATCGAGGACGCAAAAGAACGAGAACGCGAAGAACGCTACAAAGGCGCTCTGCGCAACCTGTGGGAAAAGTATGAACACCAAGAGAATAATATCAATGATGATTTGTTTGAGGAAAAGAAACGCATGCGTATACCCCCTTACTATATGTTGATGCAGAAGAAACGCTCTTATCCCGTTCTCCCGTGGCTACCATATGCGGAACGGAAGAAACGCTTCCCCGTAGCGAAACGCTCAACCAGGCACGTGTCCAGCCAGAATATCAGTTTGGGAAAGACCGACGATAGGGTGGCTAAAGAGTTGAGCGAGCTGTTTGGTTCTTCCGCGTCCGCAACAAGTGATGAGAAAAGGAAACGCTCAACCGATGAACAAACACGTACTTCTTCCACTCACGCACCCGCAATAACATCGACTGCTTCGAATAATATGTTATTAGAGATGCCCGCCAAGAGAGATAACTCAACCGAGGCTACTACAAAAACTGCTACACCAATAGATGTGCACGACCACCGTCACCAGCATGGATCTGACCATGTCCATAGTGCACACGGTCAGAAAGAATACAAGCATCGTAAACGAAGCGATCATCATGGTTCACATGAGAGTCATGAGGAGGAAGAAGAAGTCTCGGAATCCGAGGAGCATGAAGACGATGAAGTAGATGAAGAAGACGATGAAGGTAAGTTATTTTCAACAAAATATGTCAAAACAAATATCTATATAAATTAATGATTATTAATATTACCGTAGAATTCGAAGAAGAAGAGGCGGAAGAAAGTAAGAAGAAACGGGATCTAAGCAAAGCAAAACTCATAAATTTGGAATTACTTAGAGCCGAAAATATCCCATCTGCTCGCACAAGTAATCAGCGACAGAAGAAATCTATTGACTGGTCAAAATACTTTGGCATCGATCGGAAAAAGAAGGCTCTCAAAAAAGAAAATGCAGCAGGGGGGTGAGTATTAGTCTGGGTCAGACCCACCTCTGTTACTTTTGGTACATACTTGGGTGGTTGAGGTTATGTCACTATATAAGGAGTAGGGATGTTGATTTTTTCGCTTTTTACGATCACGGGATTTTCGGGATATCGTTATCACAATCCCAGGACATTTTCAATACTTACCAGTCCTTATGCACCCAAAAAATTGAATCTGATTAAATTCTAGAGAATTTCCTCTTTAATTTGACACCCATACTTCTTCTCTAAGCACATTTCACTGAATTTTTTAAGGAATTTTTAATTACTGATGTTAGGGTGAAAAACTGAAAATGCAATTTTACTATATCTGGCCAATGGTTTCGCGAATATATTGATTTTTGTGGGTAAAATTTACTAACGCACGGTATTATATGCACTTTAAAAAGTGCATGCAAAACTACTACTGAAAAGTGTTTATATTTCAACCAAAATCTGTTCAGGTATACGCACAAGATGTTCAAGATTTGATTTTGAACATGAATTTTTTAAAATATACACATGAAATGTTTAAAATTACCAGCATTTTGAAAGTAAAAATATATATTTTTACAAATAATAAATACTAAGTGCCACTTCTAAATATATATAATCAGAAAATACTGAAAATTCGCTTCAGATAACACGCTCTTTAAAATACATTTATGAAAGTGTTATGCACAGTATGTAATAAATAAATAAACTTTTTAAAGTTTCATAAATTGCATTTTATTTACATAAAATATACAAAGAACTCAAACATTTTCAACCGGCTTCAAAAAAGGGGAGGTTATCAATTCTTGGGAGTATTTTTTCTTCTTTTATATACCTTAAGGGTCGTCCCGCAATTTGGTTTAGTTCCGATCATTAAATCAAGAAAAAATTAACGGTACTCCTAAATTTGTATATGAGAACTGAAGTCGGTTTTGCTTTTTGCTTAAAAATTACTTGTTTAATAAAAAGTCCTATAAACACAAGATGCACTCAACTTTCAAGTAATACAAAATTTTACAAAAGAATTTTAATATAAATAAGTTAAATAATTCCATGAAATTTTTACACTTTTATGTTCATTTTCGTCGATTTCTGGTTTCTCATTTCTTTAATACTTCGAATACCGAAAATTTAACTGAACTTTTTTGAATTTTTATCATGTAGCTCATTTTGGTGAAACGAATTCGAAGTTAGCAAATTAAATCTTCGAATGCTTGTCAAGTACATATCAGTGCTAAACTTTTTTAGGCTGTCAAGTGTTAAAAGCAACAGTAAGTGAGTACGCATTGCATGTTTTTAGGACAATGTTTTCATTCGCAGTTAAACTTTAAAGAGCTCTCAAGAAAAACGAACAATTCTTACAAAATGACGCACAAGAAATGGAAAAGAATTTTTTTCTATCAGAACCCATTCCTTGTGTGCGCTAATGCTAAGTGCTCATATTTACTCAATTTTAAACACTTTGTGTGTAGTTTTTCTCTACGTGACAAATTTGATATGTAAAAGTAAACAGACAGTTTTTAATTTTGCACACACTAGGAGAGGAAACTGGTTACCTTTCTTTATATGCGTAAATTTAAACAAAAATTTTTTAGAGGAAATTTTAAAAATTTTATGTGTAAACTGTGAAATTGTGAACAATAAATGTTTAGAACTCAAAAAACAATTTTGAAATTTGTTCTACACCACACATATGATAAGTAAAAGTAAGCAAACAGTGTTTAATTTAATTAACACGGTGTGTAAATTTGCATTCATTATGAGAGGAAACTGGTTACCTATCTTAATATGCGCAAATTTAAACAAAAATTTTTTAGTGTGTGTATAATGAGCTAGAAATTTATAAAAAAATATTAATTATTACATAAAAAAAGAAATATAGCCAACACTGGTCAAGAAAAGGAGTTCCAATTATTGCCATCAATGCGAATTACAAATGCCGAAAATCTCGGGTTTATTTTCCAGGAATCCTGGGATTTTTAGGACTTAAAAAACGCCGGGATCCCGGGATTAACATTCCTAATAAGAAGTGACATATTTCCAAACAAAAAGGCAACGAAATCCCATGTAATTTAGCAAACCAAAAGAATTTGCAATGTGTATTTAAGAGTCATTCTAGCCTTTTTTTAGCTCTTTCTTAAAATTAATAGGCTTTTTTTAGCTTTTCATTTTTGCTCAAAATATTAACTGCAAATTTAAATAGTGTTGAAATGTTTAGTGCGATATGAAATAAAACAAGGCATGATATTTTATTTCGGCGAGTTCTCATTTAAAAAAATATACCCTCCCCTAATACGTATCCAAATATTCAAATTCATCTGCAACTAAACGCACCCCTTAAAAAGTTACTCAAGGGCACTTTTTCGCGCTTTGCGATACACCTTTTTTATGTCACACTATATCCCCCGTTTTTTCTGGATTCTGATTTGATATTATTTACATATAGAAATATGGAAAAAGCATATATTGTATATCCGTATGCAAAAGAAAAAATATAAATACTTTTTTTTTCATTTTTGATATATATGTAAGGGTAAGAAATAGTTATCGATAAGGTCCGTCCCATGAATTATATACAATTAACAGCTGTTTACTGCATATTTGCGGCGTAAACCGCCATTTGTGACAACTCCCGCTGAATGTGAAATTTGCGCGTAAAAACGGATCACGCGATTAATCAATTAAATTGACTTATAATAAATTTATTAATTGCGCAGTCCTATTGGAAAATGTGTTAATACAAATATTTTTAAAGGTATGCGTTGTTTGTACAACACTATTAAGTATATATGTAAGTGTTTTCTGATATTTGTTATTACTCTGAAGGTAATATATTCGTTTTTGGTTTAAAAAACTATGTTGTAACAAGATCTCTTTTGCTAAGCCGATTTCATGAATTTTATAAAAATTGGGCGATTTTATTTAGAAATTGCGCTTATTTAAACAATCTTTCCACCCTAGTTTGCACACAAAAATACTATATTTTTTTGCCAAATATGTACCTAGAAAAATGCATCTGAAGTCAGTACTCATTTGCTCATACATACGTACATATCGCACACCGTCTCCAAAAGGGTCACAACTCAAAATAACACCTTCGTCAGAAAATTCGAAAAGCTATTTCGTAGCACATGCTAATCGCATGGGGAAGGGCGACTTTGCCTTAGGTTTTTTTAAACAAATTATAAGAAAAATTTGCTTCAGCTTTTGCTGAAAGGTACATTTTTAGCGCATAATTTCAAAAATGCAAAATTTTGAGTTGTGACTCTTTTGAAGACGGTGTGCGATATATGTATGATTCATGGACTGGCGCGACAATACTTGTCCCATGTATCGCATGTGATTCATTGGATAAGAAACCTGTTAATAAACATAAACTAAATAAAATAAAAAAATTTAAAATTGATCAAAAAATTTCGGGGGAATTTCAACCCTCAAAACCCTCCCCCCCTTATATCCGCCACTGTTCTTCCATCTTAATACGATGACGAGAAAAAAGCCATCAAGTGATGTAAGCACCGATGTGCTAAGTGCCAACAGCTTTTAAATTATTAAAAATATGTCCTGTCCTTATCTTAATCAACGTTGTCAACATTCGTTGCTTGAGCTCATCTGCTGTTCTGCCAGAGTTCCAGGCCTCTTGCTCAATTTGGTGAATACCACGGTATTTCGACCTCAAGTATGTATGAGACTGACTGGTCTACATATCGATATTGACTGGTATAATGCATACATAAATCCCTATATGTATACATAGGGTTTTAATATTTATGACTTTACAACATATCTGCTTGTTTTTCTCTGCCATAGCATTGAGGTTAAAAAACGAGGCGCTAGTAGTACTGAAGCCAGCAGTAATGATGGGGATATGAAAAAACGTAATTTGGATTCTGAGCAATTAGACATCATGGATAGGAAATTGCAATCGATTGAGGACTTTATTATTGATGAGACCATTAAATATACCGGAGCTCATGAAGGTAAGTCTATTGCCGACGAAAGTCATTCCGTTGATGCTTTCATACATACGGTTGTAGGAATTGCCGACCCAGATGAGATAAGGCGCCTCAAAGACCACGTGCTCTCTCGCCTGGCCACGGCATATAGTTTGGAGAAAATGCGTCGCGCTTTAGACAAATTGCGACAATCTGTGGAAGCTGAGAATCACTTACTGCGCAATGCAATCGAACCAGAAGATAATACCGAAAATGATCTGGAAAATCCTTTGTCGGCGAAGAAGGTTCGAACACCTTTACATGAAGTGGAAAATATGGGGTAAGATTGCATACACGTAATCTTCGAATATTTAAAAAAAAAAATATATAAAAGATTTTTTTTTTAACATGTATACTCAGTATTGACAAAGTTACCATAATGAATGGATGGCATTGATTTTCAGCGTATACGTGTTTGGTAATGTTCTTTTTGTTTTTAATGTTGTGTTAGTCACAGAAATTTAAATGTTTTTATGTTTTTTTATTTCGAAATTTGTTTAAATATTCAAAACAATAGTATATCAAATAAACGAATTGCCCATGAAGATACTAAAAAGTATTAGCGAAACGTTGGGCCAGGAAAAGGGAATAACTTAGTTTTATTCGCATCTTGAAACTCAGATCAGACGAGCCTATTAGTATACATGTTAAATAAATCAAGAACTGATCGGAATATATGTACATACATAAAGGAGATTTTTATATTTTGTATTGCAGTTTCCCGACAGGCAATGATAGGACAAAGGAAATACACTCGAATGCCATGATGAGCACCAATTCTGCTGACGCAAATACCAAAAATGCCGAGCCTAACGAAAAGAACGATAAAAATCTTGAACAAGTAAAAAAACACAAGAAGAAGCGTAATGGCTATATGCGTTATCCAGAATTACCGAATGAATTCGCTGGAATGCAGGAGGATATCGTCGATGCTGGTCGCTATGAGCCGTTGAACGATGCGTATTTGGGAAATAAGAACTATATTATCGGCTCGAATAGGTGTCCCTTAATCGAATCGATGGCGGAACGCTGTCGAGGTATAGATATTCTAAGTGGAGATATAAATCAGGAGCTCTTGCCTATTTGTGGTATTCACCAGATTTGTTATTTATGTGTAAGTGGACACGCAATACATTTACATATTTAGAAAACAACCATTGAGTAAAAAATATAATTAAACATAACTGTTGCAGGGCACTACGCAAGTGGCTTGCGATTATCAATATTTGACAGAAGCGGATGCTATTTGTGGCAACAACAACGATTGTCAAGCAGCAGCACGCTCTATATTGATGATATTACGTGGAACACCAAGCCCACAGCTAGGTCCAAGAGAGTGTCTGAAGAATTCGTGTCTACACAGTGCCATGCGTGAAATCGGACTATAGATGCATCAACACTAAATAATATTTATCAAATTGACAGCTATTTATTCACAAACTTTGTATGCAGTTCGCTTAAATTGTAAACCATAGACAGGAAAGTTGGTCATACATTTTTATGAGTGCTCGACTAGTAAATACGCATAGGTACATGTGTATGTATGTATGTACATTCATACATACATATATCAATGACGATTTCGTTAAGAATTCAGAGGAATCGTATGTCGGATATTTTATCAAAACTCCTAACTAATTGTGTTTATAACCTTCATGATTTGGTTGTATGCAATTACATACTTAAATATTTAGTGAACATAGTGCATACATGCATACATATGTATATGTGTGTACATACATATTTACAACCTATTTGTGGAAATAAAAATGGAATGTTTCCTATCTGGATAAAAAAAAATGTTAAAGGATGTATGAATATAGGTACATGAGTATGTCATATATTCATTAAAAAATCTAAAAGATATGCATCTCTAATTACCATTTAGAAATTTTAAGATTAAAATAAATATTATGTTAAATGTGTAATATGAACTTAATAACAAATGTTATATATAAATAAATGTACATACATGTGTCTTAATACATACATACATACATACATATATATTAGGGCGGGCCAATTAGTATGGATCGATTTTTTTCGACATCGTTCCCAGCATATCCGGATTCTTCATAAAATTCTAAGAAAAAAATTCCTCCAGACCATAGCTCTAAAGTTAATTTCAAGCCTGCGCAGTTTTAAAAGAAGATATCTCTTATATATAAAAATTAATTGCTGTCCGTTAGTCTCGCTAAGACTCGAAAACGGCTTGACCGATTTGAGTATTTTTATTTTTTTGGTTTGTTTTTTATAATATCCGGATGGTTAAAACCAGCAAAAAATAGAGAGTTGCCACCTGTTTAAAATTTTCAGTGTAAGTAAATTAATTACATAAATTAGATGTCACAATATGGGTGTTATAGAAGCTGTGGACACTGGAGTAAATTTTAAACAAAAAACAAAACCGACTTCAATTCTCATATACAAATTTAGGAGTACCGTTATTTTCTTCATGGCCCAATTATCGGATCTACACTCAATTAGTAGCGCAGACTACCTTTGAGGAACCACCTTTCCTTTAAAAAAGAATTGTAGAAAACGGGTAACGTAGTTCAAAGTTATGCGGTAACATAGTACATACAAAAAATATTCCGACTAATTGATAAAATATGCAGATTAATATTTAATAAAGTGTTACGGATGTTTTTTTTTAATACAAACCTGTGCTTGGGAGTTTATTGATACGATAAATTAGTTTCTGTTATCTATTTTTTGTTTAAAGAACCGCAAGATTGCACTACAAAGCAAATTACATTTTTTTTTACTATTGTAACAGGAGAAATTACTGTATGTATTTTTTTATATGTACAGTGTCGAACAAAAGTTTAGGCAAAGTTTTTAATTTATTTCCGATAATTTTCTATAAAAACATAGTTCATACTACACCAAAACACATAAAAATCAGGAAAATTCAATAAATCTGCATACTAATTTGCAATTTTATGTTCAGATTTTCAAGCAACTTCAAACTTGCACTTTGATCAACTAAAATTGAATGGATTATTAAACTGCACACTTGGAATTTTTCTAAAAAATACTTTGCCTATATTGCGAAAAATTCACTGTGCCAATACTTTTGTTCGTTGCTGTAAGTAAATACAACTTTAACTTTAAAAAACAAAAAATAAAAAATAAATGTTTACAATATTTCAAAATTATTTTTGGAATCATAAAGTTTTTTATGATTAACAATGTATTTATAGTTTGTTTTTTTTTGGGTTTAGATCCTTTTTGCTTTCAGCACGAGGTATCTGTTTTCTACTTTCTATTTTCATAGCCATAACTCCCTCTTTATTTTTATCAATCAATTTTATATTTGTTTTCGGCATTTTTCCAATAACAAGTAGAGCTTTATAAAACTTTTATAACACCAAATGTTTATTAATTTAACCAGAGAATATGTTTTCTTTATTATATATTGAAACGCAAACGTCAAGCTGTGAAGCTGTGTTTTTCTGTGATC